TGATGAGGACACAAATCCAAACAGTGAGACATGATTAGTTAAATTCCGTGTGTTAAATTGTTAGCACAGTCTGGTATGGCTTAAACACTTGCTATTTATCACTTTACCAAATCCATGGTATGGATTAGGTTAGCCTAGGCCAATGGCCATAGTGAATAAATATTTTTGGGACTGGCAATCATATAATAAAATATAGAACTAGTTCTTTTCCAACCAACATCCACTCTGTCAAAAGCAAAGAGTATCCTCTGATGCATTCTCCCCTGGTGCTCCTCCCCACCAGCTGGCAGACAGGACAACCCAGTGATGTCCTGAACTGCAAGAGTCCAGACACTCACAAGAATTGCTAAGGTTTTCTCCACATATACCACTTTTTAATTGGCACAAAATGTTTTTGTTCAGAGTATTTGTTACTGCTACTTAAAAGAAGTAATTAAGGTAATTCAAGACTCTAGCTGTAGAGTGCTAGCTCACCCTTGCAAAAGGCCATTCATGGCTACCAGATTAGGCTTAAACTATGATACCCAATATAAGGTATTCTATTTTGTACTCATCTGATCAAATGTTCCAGAAAATGCTCAGGAATACTTTTTGATCAGATGTATTCTTGTTCACTGTAGACAATATAGTGGCGTTTAACAGTAGTATACCCTAAAGCAGTATGCCATAGCTTAAAAAACAGGCTCCAGTGCTATAGACATGACTCTCCTTGACAGTGATCTGAAACAGTCCCAAAACTAAATGTAAATTAACATAGTGGGAATTTGTCAAAGTAATTTTATAGTTTGGCAGGCATCTCTTTTCCATTTCCTAATGAGTCCTTCATCAATAGAGAAATAAGTTCTATGTTGTAGAAATAGGCTACTTGGAAAAATATTTCTAAGAGAAGAAAAACAATCTTAAACAGCACAGTTACTGTAATTCTTGATCCAATTCCATTAAAAAGATATTAATTTTTATTTCTGTTAGCTACCGAAACATTACCAATGGAAAGAAACATGAATCAAAGATTTTAGCTTTAAATTTTGAAAAGATTAAAAATATATACGCAGTTTTATTTTCATAAGTGCATCTTTCAATACAGGAGATTGATGCAGATGAAATACAATTTTGCATGCTGAAAACATATTTTAGTGTGAACATTGAAATGACATTTTATCAAGAGAATTGACTATTACATTTGTGGTGCACAGGGTGATAATATGATCAGCCACCAGGGAAACAAAATAAATTTCCCTCTCAGACAATCAGTACCAAAACTATATTAATCTGCATATTACCATTCTCTATATTCATAGTTTTTCCACAGTAATAGACTATTTCTAAAAATAAACTTATTTTTCAAGGAATATAATTATTTTCAATTCTTCACAGTCTATTGTATTGCCTACTATAAGAGAGAGATTTTCATCAGTCCTGATTTCCTGTTATTCATGTATCCATTCGTACCACTAACCTGAACTAAGATGTGGTTGTGGGTCAGCAGCAGCTTGAAGAGTTCCGAAGAAAAGCAAATTCATGGAATTTGAAGGGTGAAGCAGGAAAGCCAGTTTGTCGTGACATTGTTGTAAGCAGACCAGCCAGTTGTTTTGCTTACAGAGAAGTAAGCACTTTTCAACATCTCTCAAGTATCGAGAAATTATGATAAGCTCTTTACCATCTCCAAGTGTCAGTTGTGAAGCTGGTAGGTAGTAGGAACAATGAACTGGCCTCCTGTCCTACTATTCTCAGATCCCATAGCCTTTTCTCTCATGTATTTACCCCAGTGGGTTTTAAGTCTTTAAAATTGTGGCATCAAATTATATATAATGTCCATTTAATATAATGCAGGCTATCTAAATTTATGCCTGTACAGAGCATTTCCTCACATGCTATAAGAGTGAATAATCAGATATTCTAAAATAGTATAAAATAAGAACAGGAGGGGAAAAAGTCTAAACACCAAGAACAGCAAGACATGCCACTAGGGGGATAAGACAAAAGAAAATAATTCCTATTAGAGGTACAGTAAAAAAGAAATAAAACAAAACAAACACCACATGCTAAAAACCAAACCACCAAACTTGCCAAAACAAAGGAACAGAAAACAAATGAAAATGGGTGTTCTTGCTTCTTGCCTTTAATGGTGTACTATTGTGGTAGCATCCATTTAGTAGCTTGTAGTGGGTTACCCATGCAGCTGCTTGCTCACACCCCACACTCACCAAATCTCAGAATAAATCACTTGCTTTACCACTTGATCCACTTACCTAACCTCACACTGATTCTGATAGCAGGCTGTGGTAGCAGAAATGATTTCTTGCAGATCTATCTCCAGGTACATTGATACTTCTTTTCCTTCTGGTTCTTCCTTCAACCATACTGATTATTCCCTATTGTTCCAAAAAGTTTTGTTTAATGATCCCACTGAATTCTATGTACAGTGGAAAGAGTAGCATTATGCATTTCTCTTTTACTCCTCATCACTGTAGCACACTTGTGTTATACCGGCACTTCTGGAGTGCTTCTTGGTACTGAAAAACAATCTTTAAGGGAAGTAACTTACGATTTTGTGGTCAATAACTTTAATGAACCTTAGAATTTTTCATGTGGAAGTTCATCAATATACAACAGAACTGATTCTGGTGCTTTGTGAAATTCTATCTGTAATTATTTCAGAGGTTCAGCCTCTGGTAGTTTTGATCAACAGCAAGAAAGGGACTACAAGATCATGCAACTACACTTTATCTTGACCTAAAGAGATCATCTCCTAGCAATAAAAGCAAGTTTTTTTTTTTCTTTCCCCATGCAACATGCTGATAAGACTTTAAGCCCATGTCATTTATGATTGCTACAGATGCTACTCTGGATTACATTTGTCAGTGAGTTGATAGGCAATGTCAGTAAACAGGCAATGGGGATAAATGTTTTAATCTATATGACTTGCACTGAAGGCTAGACAAGCCCTGTGCATTAAGGGGGTAGTAAATGGCTTTATCTGTACACAGTCCATCTGATGAATGAAATAAACCAGTTAAAAACTAATGACTATTCAATAAATCAGTTTGTTTTGAGTTAGATAAAACACTTGAAAACCATGCTTCAAAAAATACATAGAATAGCTAAAAGAATAAGAGAAAAATATGTAAACTTTTAACGCCTGCATTTCTTTAAGTCAGTCAGAATCATGTATGTCCACTACCCTTTCAAATGAAAACCAATATAATTTTCTAATTATAAGATTTGGTTAGAATCCCTAGAAAATCCTTGTAGATACTATGTATTAGATCATCCATCACCAAATCAGCATACAGCGCTGTGGCAGAGGCAGTGGCTTATCAAGGCCATATGATAGAACTGTTAGAAGATGTATAGGAGAAGGACAGGTCAAAGATATTGCTGGTTCACAGTATTATAGGGAGCGGACAGTACAGGGAATATGGATACTTGGATACATCCCCACAAATGATGGTGATTTGGTATAGTGACTTTCAAAACCAATGGGTTCTCAACCCCTTCCTTCCTTTTGTGCACATTAATATATTTGTCTGAGGAGTGAAGTAGAAGAGATTCTCAATCTGATATAATAAGATATTTATCTTATACACTAGAGAATATGTTATAGTAAAAATATTCTGGAAACTCATCCAGCAAATTCTGCCTTATCTCTGTTGTAAACTCTGACAGCTAATACACAGCAACTGATGTTTTCTCTTTTGAGGTTTGACTGCAAACATCTGAACAATTAAAATGCTACAGAAGGAATTATATATATTTAAAATAATTAGAAGCAGAAAATAGTTACCCACTTGTCAACGGTTTACGGGCTGGTTCGGCCCAGTTCCGTGACCAGCGGGGCGGAGGGATTTTGCAAAATCCGTGCCTCCAGAAAAAGGGAAACAAGGGACCCCAAAATAATTAAAAACAGTGGCAGCGATCTGAGGAGAAACAAACTAATTTACTAAATATGGTATCAAAATGCAAGATAACACACCATAATACAATATAATCAGGATTGAAGTTAATAAATCAAATATAATGAGAGAGAGAGAATGTCCGAAAGGTGGATAGGCCTCACCATAACACTGAGGCGAGATGTGCAGTCCAGTTGAGCAGCAGGGAGACAGGAGGAGAGTTGACAAAGAAGAGCAGATGAAGAAGACCCCATCAGATGACCTTGGCAGGAGTTATATCTCCTCTCTGTGACCGCAAAGTCCCCTGGGGAATGTAGTTCTTCTCTTCCGGGCAGGTACACAGGACTTGAGCATTAACAGTTAAACTCCCAGTACCCACATGATGTTATGATGTGGAATACCGAAAACCAAAAAATCATAAAACCATGACATTACTGTATTTTTTTCCCCCTAAAATACTGATTTGTCACCTTTTGAAAGATGGATAGGGGAGTTTGAGAAGCTACCATTTTATAATGAGAAGCCCTTGCCATCTTAATTCTATAAAAACAGTAACAAATTTTCCTTTTAACTATATAACAGTTTCTGGATTTCACAACCTAAAAAGTATCAGATATTCACCTAATACTTATAAGCCATAGTCTTTTATTGTACAATATCTCCCCAGAACTCAATGAAATGCTTTGGAACACTTCTTGAACAGTACCATGAAAATGAATAGATTCTAAAGAGTCAGCATATTGTGCTGACTAATTCCATTAAAAATCTCAAATTTTCTCAAAACTAAACAAAAGTTAAACATTAGGGATTTTAACAAAAAATAAGAAAATAAAGTAGGTATGTATTCTTCACATCATGATTTCATTTTGTCTCATTTTGTGTTCTGAATGTTTTACTTAAGGAATGCAAAACTATGACATACAATGATGGAGACTTGATTTTGCAATAGAACATTTGTGCCACAATTAAATATTTCTTAATGTGACAAAACTCAAGTTCCTAATGACCACATACATGACAGAATCAAGACATTAACTCATCTGGATCAAGCAAGTATGGCATAGAATATACTGCACGCTACAAAGGAGTCAGACTAGAAGGACTTACCACTTCTTCATGGGTAGCATTTTCTACGTTAATACCATTAACCTAAAAACAAAGATACAATAGGAATGAAATGATTTTAAATATGTAAGCTAGTTAATTAAACAAACATAAAGGTAAGTCTGAAATAAATATGGCAAAAACAAATGTTTACTGACCTGTATTATTGCATCTCCTATAAATAACATTCCAGTTTGGTCAGCTGTGGGATTACAAAGTACAGTTTAACAGAATGAAGTACTGAAAAGATGCATTTTATTCTCTTTCAGCACTTGGTTTAGCATGCTGTTTGTAGGCATCATTAGAAACTGATTTGCTCATAGAAATAACGATATAGCAATCAATATTCATCCTATCAAGGTAGTAGATTTCTAGCAACCTTAAACCAACTAACAGAACTATTTCCCATGCAAAAAGAACTTGTTTAATATGGAATACAAATGTCATTTCTCACTAATGAAGGATTTTAGTAAATTATGTGGAAACTGTGATTCACACTTTTCATTATTATTCTACAAAGAGAAATAGAAATCTCTGAAACTGCTTAGCAATTCCTTTCCCCTGAACAAATTTACAGGGACAGGTATAATTAAAGAGGTTGTGCCTAGAATTTAATACAAATCTTTAACAAGAAGTTTGAGTTAGCTTTGCTCCTGAGAATAAGATAATATATTATTTCAGTCGGTTTCCTGCCTTACAAAATTAATGGGAATAATATAATGAAACTGCAAAGAAAACAATTCTACATAGACACAAACAATGGCATTTTTGAGGTGTATTCACCAGTGTTTTGTAGTCTTTTTCCTTTTTTTTTTTTTTTTTTTTTTTAATTATTATTTTAGTGGAATTTGGGGATGTTTACCTCTTGAAATTTAAAACTTAATTGAAAATAAATCTCTCATCCCACAAAAACTAACAAGGTTAAATGAAGCATATGGATAGTCTTGCATATGATTTTGTCATGTCCTGGCTTCAGACTTTGAAGAACCAAGGTAGAATTTTGAAAGATGAAGACAGAGAATCACAGAATCACAGAATTGTAGGGGTTGGAAGGGACCTCCAGAGATCATCGAGTCAAACCCCCCTGCCAAAGCAGGTTCCCTACAGCAGGTCGCACAGGTAGGCATCCAGGCAGGTCTTGAACATCTCCAGAGAAGGAGACTCCACCACCTCCCTGGGCAGCCTGTTCCAGTGCTCCGTCACCTCACTGTAAAGAAGTTCTTGTGCACATTTGTGCAGAACTTCCTATGCTGCAGTTTCCGGCTGTTTCCCCTTGTCCTGTCTCCACACACTGGTGAAGGTGTGTGAAGAGGTAAGAAAGAAAGAAAAGAAACAACAGCAAAACAACACAGAATATTCATACAATTTCTACAGTATAGCTTTTGGCACCAAAAATGTTATACCTTTGGTACAAAACAGCTTCTTTCTTTATATTTCCTATAGAATTTTCATCACTCTTTTAGCAAATAAAAGACACCTTTTATTAGGCACCTTGAGGAAAGAGCTTAGGAAAGATTTCACCACATACTATAAAAACTATGCTACAAGTTGTGTTGTTGTTGGTTCCTTGCGTTTTTGGGGTTTTTTTTCAATCTTTTTTTGTACTTAAAAATATACATACAATTTGTAACTGCTGCTATTAAAAATGGTTATCTATGCGTATAAAGGCAACTGAACTAAAGTAGTTTGAAAACAAAAAAGCAATTCAGAGTAGATTGTGTGGGTACCTGTCTTGCTAAAGGTGATAAATGCTACCTTAGGCATCTCAATACTAAATTTCTGTTCAGGATGTCAGTATTGATACACTAATACTGTGTCTGATTGAACTGATGTTCAAGCACTATATTAGGAGGTCAAAATTTCAGAGACCATTTCACTGCTCTTAATCAAGGCCTGTCTTTGCAGTCCTTTACGGCATTGCTGTGTGATGCCAGTATGCCTTAGGATGAGGTGCGTAGGGGCCCAGACAACAGGAAAAGAAGTTTTGTGTGTCAGATCAATGAAAAACTGGAAAGGTAGAATTACCAACACATACAAAGGTCTTGAGATCTAGTTCTAGAGAGCTAGTATATAGTTCAAGGATTGACATGGCATGGCATGATATGACACAAAAAAAGTATAAAATCTCAAGGAATTAAAACAGTTTGCTGAAGGACTGTAACTCAGCATAGCTGAAAATAAGTCCCTTCCAGGGAGCAATGGAGACTGAACATTCTCCATCTAATTTCTGATGGTTTATACACTCATTGGCCATCCCACAGTGATGAGTACTGCAACAACCCTAGCTATCTACTGTAGACATTATACAAAAAATAGTATAGCTTAAGTGTACAATGTAATTATATCCTGCTTGCAGAGTCTCTATGCACAATTGAAGCTGCGCAGATAAAGCGAACGGGAGGAAGAGAGTTAAATGATGGATACCAAATGCTCTGTGAAGTGAAAAAAAGCATAGAAAATAGTGAAAATCAGAGTGTTTGTTTCAGAAGTGAATTATACTGTAAAGTAACGCAATAATGTATACACCTCCATGGCTGTCATTAGCATGGCCACTGATGGTACTCTGGCAAACTATAAGTCTGTGATGAAAAATTTTGGCTTGATCTACAAATTAAAATCCATGATGATTTATAAACATTTTTAACAAATCCAACTGTAGAGGACATGTCACAATGATGCATAAATCACAATATATTTTGCAAGTATTTTAGAACTAATGTTACCAGAAAAAGTCCTTGTAAAGAGACAAAAAGAGTTTCGTTCTTCCTCATTTTAAATCTGAAGACAAATAGTTATATCATCTCAAACTCTTCTGATGTTTTCATAAAGTTATACTTCTCTGCATGAAAACAAAACAAAACAAAAAAACATTGTGCAAGTGCACTGTTCCACTTTATATGGAACTTTGCTTCCCACTGGTAGCATTCTCATACAAAGGTGTCCATGAAAGGCTACTCAGCAATTTAGTGATTCATAAAAAATAAAATATTTGAGAATGAGCTTTGAGATACTAACTAACATACAGCATTGTTCAGAGAAACAGTAAATACAGATCATCTGGAATTCAGTATGCTTCCTAATGATTTATGCAAAACGATATTTTATTTGTAATGAGTTGAATATGGCCAAAAAGGATTTTCAAACGAAAACAAGCACAAAGTAGTAATTAGCAGAAGTGCACTGGGGTTTAAAAGAAAATTAAGAGTCTGCTATAACAATTAGCATTAAATCACCTTTACAACTTAATTACCTTTAAAAAAGGTTAAACATTGATTACATTTTGTACATTCATGAAATTCATAGGGATACTGCAGTAGGAGGAAACCCTACTGCATTTATAACCCTTAAGGGGCTTCTAAAGAAGATACAAAATTTCTTATTCTTAACACGTTAGACTTGAAAATATATTCCCAAGAAAAACTGATCCATCATTGTAGTCCTCTGACAATGTATTAGTGATGCACAAAAACCATGCTGTTTGAAGCTTACAATTAAGTTGACTACATGAATCTTCCAACTCATAAGCTTAAGAAGATGTATTTCACCACAAAAAGAGAATTAAAATGATAGCTAAGAAAGTTTATGAATTGGAAACAAAAAAATGCAGAAATTGGTATCTACATAGAATTTAAGGGAGTTCATAACATTATCCAGGTGTGTTGTTTTTTTCTTTCTGTCTCATGAATTGGACTATAATCGTACCACTGGTACAATCCAATTTATATTTTCTTGAAAATAAGCAGTTTTGTAACTGCATTTGTAATCAATATTTTAAAACAGAACTGCATTATTACCTTGTTAGGGACATTTTTTAAACATAAAATATGCTTTACAGGACTCAGATTTAGTTTATCCATTCAAATAAAAAAGTCCAAATTTCTATCCTTATTTCTCTTGTTGACCACGAGGTTTCCTTAGCTCAGTCTCCTTACTCCTTACTGTCCAGTTTATCATGTGACAAAAAGCTGTATGTCAATAATGCAACGTTTCATAAAACATCCACGTCATTATTCTAATGTGCCAGGTTCTCCATGCTAAACTCAGAGGTACATGGGAAATTAGATTTCTCCGTCCAATCGTTTCAGTGGACAGCCTATACAGTAGGCAACCATTGATCATTTTGTGATCCTAGAAGTACCATGTTTACTTGCAGACCCAGTCAGGAACTCACTTCTAAATCCTTAGTGTACACAAGCCAGAACTGAAGCTCAACACACTGTAAGAGTCAAGTCAGTGTGAGATGTGTGTAGGATGACAGCGATAAGGCAGGTACTGGAGTAGGCAGAAACTGAATATAGCAAGGACAACACGTTTGGATAGTCAATAATAGACCTTACGTGGCTGAAGAAGTAGAATATTCAGCTGTGATAAGAAAACTGCCATTTCCCTGGCAATTTTGAGCTCAGTACTCCAGATTATGGATGTCTTAATGGTAAAATGAATTTCCACCTGACTCATAAAAGGTTACTAAATAAAAATACTACTCAGAATAGATTAGGGAGCACTGAGAAGCTGAAGCCTTCTTGCAGACAATATTTTAGCTGGCACTTTACCTAGCTGTATAGCATACAACATTCTATCTGCAAAATTAACAGAAAATAAAACTGGTTTGCTCTTGAAAATGAAGAACAAAAAGAACTACAAGATACACAGACACCACAGATGTAATCAGGAAAGATCTGAGGATCTGAGCAAGAACTACACTGACGTGTAGATTTCCTGACCATGTGGCATACATGTGCATGTAACTGATAATAAGAATTTTCTAGGACAGTGCATATGCTAGCAATGTTAAATTCTTTCTGATTTTGTTCAATTTAAGAAGTACTAAAAATACAGAATAGCTGCATATATTCCTGGAAATGATCAATTCACAAAGTACACTGTATGCAAACTCCTTTGTCTTTTGGATATACATGCATACTGCTATTATTACCAAAAGCACTGGGAAGGACCTAAGGGTCCTTCTGGTGGACAAGTTGGCCAGTAATCAACAATGCGCCCTTGCCAACAGTACCCTGCAGTAGCCTGATCTACATAAAGACAAGTGCTGCCCATAGGTCAACAAAGATGATCCATTACCTTCACTCAGCAGAGACACATCTGGAATGTTGTGTCTGGTTCTGGGCTCTCCAGTACAACAAAGATGTGATCTTACTGAAGCAAGTGAAGAGCCATATAGATGAAGGAGCTGCAGTATCT